TTCAGCACATGGTAATGGTTAATGGCACTGATATCGGCTCATCCCAGGGAGTTATTGTTCAAGGTCAGACAATGATGCCCAATGTACAAACCCAGAGCCTTGGGGCAGTGCTGGTTGACAGCAGGGTTAACCAGGGAACCACTGGGAACCTGATCTCTGGCTCCCAAAACATGATGTTTGTTGAAAGCAATGTCCCTGCTGGATCTGTGAGAGTTCTAAACGGTAACCAGGTTAGCCTTGCTCAGGGTGGTGTGACACTAAACGGGTTGTCAGGATCTCAGACAATCATTAAGAAGCGGGAGTCAAACAGCAGAGGGCAGCAGAGTCAGGGTGGAAAAGGTTCTTTCCAAAAGTCTGAAGTCTCGCGTGGTCAAAAGGTTCATGTGATCAGTGGTGCATCCGGCGGCTCTGAGGGAAGCACCTCTTCCTACACCCTTACTACATCCGCCAACAATGGAGTAGTTGTTGGGCAGAAGCACAGAGTAATCAACTAGAGACGCTGCGTCTACTGCGGGCAAAAATCACCTATGGTGTGGTCTAGGGTGATGGGAGCTTATCTAAAGCAGGTGTTTGGGTTAAGCAATAGTGCCCAAAGGTTGTAGCGCAGTTACCTTTGTTCTTATGTCCTGTAAAGTTAGCTGAAACTGCACAGGCTTTGTTTGGGAATAGCTTCTATGTTTCCATGGCCTAAAGATGCCTGGGATTTAAAAGTAATGAGAAGTTTCTACTATGGCCCTTAAATTTCCCTTACCTAAAGTAGATAGATCCAGAATGTATAGATACTAACAGCCAATCATATTAACATTAACAAAGTGCAAAATCAACAGCCTATACAACATCCTGAGTGGATCTCATATGGGACAAAAGTTAAACTGTAATGTAGGCTCTTCTTGAGTTTTAAGATTTAAATTGCATTAAATCCTGAAATAATGTGTCTAATTTAGCTTTAGGCAAAAATGCAACTTCTAGCACAAAGTAACGAGACATATTAAACCCCCCCAGGTAGCTGAGTTTATTACTGATCAAATTAAAGCTTTGTCTGTTGTGCACCTTATTAAACACCCGGCAGGTTTTAGAAATACTCTTATGTATTCCTGCTGAAAATAATGGTAACTGTAAAGAGCTGATTCCAGCTGCTTAAGCCGTGTAAACGTAGGGGGGATTATATTCTTTTATCACAGATACTGTCTGATATTTGCTTCGAGGAAATGGAACGCTGTCACCGTCTACAGATATCTATGCTGTCACTCTGTAGCTTAGCATGGTTAAGATAACTGATACACACTCACATGCTGTGTCACAATATCCTGGCGGGGACTTTTCATTGACATCCATTCATATTGCATGTATTCCTGTGGCCTAACCCTCACCAGCACATCCCTAACTTTAACAATAACCCAAACTAAACCTAAGCCCCGCCCCTAAAAAAGAACTTCTCCCCATAGGGATCAGCCATTGGTTCCCACAAGTATATATGAGTCCCCAAAATATAGGATATATCTGGGACAGGGTAACACATACATACACACACACACACACACACACACCTACACACTGACTTAAATAAGGTTTCATGTTGGTCAGGGTATTTTCTTTAAAATTACTTTTTTTATTATGCTGACTAAAATACTGAGATCTGTCTCTTGTTCACTGGTGATAAGATTATTTCCTTGGGTGTAAAAATTCTTGCCATCCTATTAAACACTTAAAATTCTGGAAATGTTTTTTTGGTTTGTTTTTTTTTATTGTCAAAAAGTATTGGTAAATGTTGTTGCTTAAAGAAAGACTTGTATGTCTGCTATTTCTAGTTGCAGCTAAAGAACAAGTTTGATAATAAATAAATATTATTCTTCTGTTTAGATGTGGTTTTTCTTTAATAATTGTTTCCTCAGCTAGAGCATAATGGTATGTTATATAATCAGTCTAAATATTATTCTGATCTATGGAAGCTCATTGGTAGAATTCCCTTATGACAGAAAGAAGGCCAACGATTCACACCATTCCATCATCTGGAGGGGGGAACATTTATTTACAAAACCGAATTCATACAGCTGTCTTAAAACTCCATACATTCAGCAATGCATCGTCACATCTGTTATAATTCCCCCAACCTTCAGTCCACCTGAACCAGCCTTTATAAATTCCACATCGCATTACGTAACTGCACATGCACAGGAATATTGTGTCGACATCTTACTGGAATTCATGTGTGCTGATTTGCGTCAAAGTCACTGCAACCCTCAAGAAATGTTTATACAGCTATTCTCTGTTTTTGCCAAACCCCCTCATGCAGCCTTGGAGACCATGGTGTTACTAAGACTCAAAACTCACCTTTAAGTTTTGTTGCTAAGTAAGTATAGGGCCATGTTGTAGGATATATTCTGATTCTGATCTGATATAGGACAATAAAACTGCTTCTACATATTCCCCCCTGTAGTTCATTGCAGATGAAATACTTTGTGATGTTACATGGTGATGTGAATACTACGTGACTAAGTGCACTTACATGTGTGTGAAGTTTAAGTGAAAAAAACAAAATTTTAACATTACGGACACAGCCTGATATGGATGGAAGTTGGGGGATATAAACCTTTAAATGAAACCATTAACTAACCATTACTAAGTATCATAATTAATAATAAAAGTCAGTCAGAAGTCAGTCACAACATGAAACGTGACATAATAAAACAGTAATACAGGTTATTATGCAAAGCAATGGCATGTTACAATCATCAGGTTTATATTTGCAGAATACAAGAATAAT